TTTTCCCAGTTTTGAAGAGTCTGAGGAAGTTTGCCTTGACATGTTTCCAGAAGGGAAACATATTTTAAAAGCAGATTAAATATTTTAACAGTTGAAAAATCATGTAGTCTGTATGTCCAACAGTCTCTTTTAAACTTAAATATATTCACTTTTATACATTGAAAATAATTATTGCTTGATCTTCACTTTTAAATGGTCACCAAAGTTTGAGATGAATTCAAGATTAATTAACATTATTGTGACTTTTAAGTGCTTTAAATTTCTGAGCACAATATAGATGCGAAGAAAGTCTGCTGATGGAAAAATAAATATACTTACATACCTTCAGTAGAAAAGCTATTGTGACATCCACAAGGACTCCCTTCCTTGAAAACACGTGAAATAACTGTAGCCAATAATTAGTAGAATTCATGCCAGTGATAGCAACAGCAATTGCTTTGGCTGGATTGCACCCATGTCTATGCAGCTCAGAGTATGTAAATAATTTCCGCTGTAATCTTGAGGCCAAATTCTATTCCCTTCCTGGCATGACTGAAAGATGACCTTTCCAGGAATCCATTCTGGAAAAGTTAAGATCAGATCAAATTCTGCCTTACCTTTGTAGACCTTGGTTCTCTGAATTGTTTAAAGCTATAGCTTCTTTGGGCAAACCTATTGGCAAAAATTGAAACAAAATCCCTGAGGTGATTATTTCCTGCTTGATCTTTTAAACCAGGGGTGTCAAACTGCTGGCCCATGGGCCGGATGCATCATAGCAAAACCATGCCCACCCCATTGCCAGCAATGGCAAAAAAGTCACAATACATTGCGACACGTCACGTGATGTTGCGAGTTTGATACCCCTGTTTTAAACGATAAGAAGGCTCAGTTCTGTTTGGCTGGAATATACACTCCAAAACCCATAATTTATTATCCTGCAGCAAAATTTTGAGACCGCTCAGCCTTAGGTTTAAAAAAAAAAGCAAAGGTGTGTCCAAGGGTTTTACCCTGCTAGGCATGACTGACTATAGGGGACGGTGTTTATCTCAGTTCCTTAAATCAAAGAGTCAGCATTATCTGGAAACATTTCCAGAGTCATGTGGCCGGCATGACAATGTGCCACAGCATAAAGCATATGGCAAAATATGGAATGCTGATACCTTCCCATGTGCTTATATGCGGTACCCATTCATCTATTTGAATTTGCCTGCTTTCGAACTGCTAGATTGGTAGAAACTGGGACAAGTGATGGGAGCTCACTCTGTCTTGAGGCACTTGGGTTTTGAACTGCCAAGATATAGATCTTTAGTGGTCTAAGATTCAGCATCCTAACCACTAAGTCATCGCATCCCATCAGCCTTAGAAACAAAGCCATACATATAACATAGTAGTGTATGTAAGTGTATGTATGCATATAGCACAAATATACACACATATATACTTGCTTTGTGACCAAGTGAGTATAGCACAAATACACACATATATATCTGCCTTGTGACCAAGTGAGTCTTGATTTATCCAGCTATGTGACTGATAATGTCTTCCTAGAATGCCACTGCCTCTTCTCCTAGTCTGAACCTTTATTGCCTTTCGCATATGAAGGCCCATTGGCTGTATTTCAAGGGGACATTTATAGTGTCATACATGATACCTTCAAGAATAATGCCAGCAGTAGTTGATGTGGTCTTTCTCATGTTCTTCCAAAATGAAATGCATCCCATGAATCATGATCATTTCCCCCCATAACAATGCAATTATTCAAATTTACTGTTAGATAACCCTCACAGAACTTATGTGGGCTAAGCAACATTGTTGATAACATAGCTGTTACAACAATAAACATTCCCTTAACATATCTCCAAAGCTTAACCTATCCAAACTTTGACCTTGGCTTTCTTCAATAGGTCAGAATCAATACTGATATCCTATTTCAAAGATATAATTAGACATGGTAAACATCTGTATGAAAAATATATATTAAACTACTCCAGAACACCCTTAATTATTTGTAACTCTTAATACTCAGACACGACTTGTAAATATAATTTTCATTGGAGACAATGCATTATTTATATACTTTACTTTTTCAACATCACAAGTCAGTTAACATTGTAATGAGGATGTGGTTTTAATTTGAAAATTATATTAAGTATCTAAAATAATACCCATGTTTTAACAGTTCCAGATTTTACTGTTTGTCATCTGACATATTGAAAGGCTAAGCAATAAATAAAAAGAAATAATTACACATGATTAAGAAAAAAGGTTCCAAAAGGAAACAGTATCCCATAATTCATTTTGCATGAGATTTCTTACATCAATATACAACTTAGTTGTAAATTCACCTGTGGGTCATAAATTCTGAAGGTGCTGTCATCTTTCAGAATATGTGATGTGGGATTTTGTCTACTTGATCTATATGCTACTTTGATTTCACTGATATGGGCATCTCTGCATTTATCCAATTAGCTGAATATTGGTTATATAGGCAGTTTTTCATGTTTTTAAAATCTCTACCTCTCAGAACTATTTGGAAATGGTTGAAAATCAACCCGGAACTTTCTACACACAGTGCACATTCAGGGGAGTTTACAAAGGTACACAAAACACCACTTTTATGAACCATGGATGTATTACAGATGACTGGTACAGATATAGGATTAAATATTTCATTCTATTGCTGTCAATTTTCTTGCTCCCACAGCCAAGACTCCAACCAAATGATTCCTAGGAAATAGTGTATGGACACCAGAAATGTGTTTTTTTTCCCTTTTAGTATGTAAAAAAAGTAATTTAGTGTAGGGTATGCAGAGGCTACATGATCTGAATAAGGGTCTAGGCTTGTCCAAGTTGCTTTGGAGATGATACAATCCAACATGATGGAAAATCAGAAAAAAATTGTTCTATTCTATTTAGCAAGGGGAAAAGACAAATGCTTGTATTTCCAGGAGCCATGGTGGTACAGTGGTTAGAATGCTGTATTGCAGGCTAACTATGCCCACAGCCAATTCGATCCTGACAGGCTCAAGGTTAACTCAGTCTTCCATGGTCCATAAAATTGAGGACCCAGACTGCTGACACTGTAAACTGCTCAGAGTATTGTAAAGCACTATGAAGCAGTATATAAGTCTGCTACTGCTATTTCCGAATGATACTGTTTTACCTCAGGGCCTAGGTTTCACTGAATTTGAAGCTCATCCTATTAAGTACAAATTCTACACTGCCACCCTTCAACATTTAATGCATCCTTTAGCATCAAGGCAGAGGAAATACTGATCAAATTTACAGGTAACCTAATTTGGTGGTAGATTTCATATTCAAATAGCTTTCCCCACTCAGATAGATATATGGACTTTAATAGAATTCTGGATGGGTTCCAAGTTAGGGAAAGTTCCTAAAAGACAGAAACAAAGTTTGAAAATGTTCTCGATAGCTTATGGAAAACAATTGAAAACAAAGAATGAAATCTAAGAGACAAATATAAAATTCCCCTGTGGCAGAAGAAATGCAAAGATAAAGAATGGGGGATATTATAGATGATATATTAAAATTGTGATTGTTCACAGACTATAAGCAGAAAGTTGACATGGCTGTATAAAAGGGAAGTAGTTTTTGATTGCATTAAAGATTTTAATTATAGGCCATCAGTGTCATCTCTTAGTGATCATGTAGATCAGGGGTGTCAAACTCAAATTTCATTGAGGGCCGCATCAGCATTGCGGTTGTCCTCGGGGTGGGGGGGTGGGTAGGTGTGGCCAGGGTGGGCACGGCCTACTGGGTGGGCGTGGCCAGCTCTACATCATTTGCGTCAAGGGTGCCTGTGGGGGCCTGGGCAGGAGTGGGACAGATCTGAGGGTCTCTGGCAGAAGGGGGTGGGACCAGGGCAAGCACCAAGGCATAGTCCAGTGGAACAGCCTGCTGAAACCCCTCCCCTGGAGCCCATCAAGCCGGATATGTGAAGTAGGCGAGGGTCATTTGCTGGCCACTTCCAGGTGATGGTGCATTTCTTCATTCCTCACAAAGGGTGACACCTCCCCAGCATGCACCCATGGGGCGGGGCTGACGCGACGGGCCAGTCCCTTGCTATTTTCAGATGGCCTTGTGGAGCTAAGACTGAATGCGTTTCAGCATAGATGGCCACCACAAAATTGTACATTGACTCCCGGCTGGCCTAGGCCAGGGTCAAGGCAGCGGGGGCCGTTCCCCTCATTGTTTTCAGGATGGCTTCGCGGGCCACATGAAACCACATCGCGGGCCGTATCCAGCCCCTGGGCCTTGTGTTTGACATGTCTGATGTAGATAATCTTTCTCCAGATGATTCAACTCCAACCTGGCCATTCAAATCTTTCAGCATCATGGAAGTATCATCTAACATACAGATAATGTTGTGATGCAAAGGAATTCTGCTATCCTGGGTATTTGAAAAGAAAATTTTAGGTGACTTCTTGCTACCAGGGCATCTGGGCAATTGTGCTTCGAAGGCCAATTGAAATACAAAGGCTGTTGTGTGAATGATCCTATTTTTGAAGAACTGAGCTGATGTTTTGTTATCTGATTCAATAAAATAAATATGACTTCATATGTACTCTGGTAAGACTACTACAGGATTTTATCCTGCAATTCCTCTCTTCAAAGAGTAAAGAATTATGTGCCTGGGCAGAACAATAAAATGACACAAAGTTGATATCCATATTGGCAATATTAAATATTTCAGGATGAGTTTATCTTATATTCATGTTTGGTGAATGACACCTACTAAGGAAATCAGTAACACCTATATTCTCTGGATTTACTTTTCCACTGACATCACTTACAAAACTTTTAATTCCTTTTTTTGCCAAAAAACTCCTTAGTAAGTGGTTATAAGGCAATGAAACTTATGCTAAACTAGACGTAACAGAACTGAGTAAATCTCTGAAGCAACAATAACTCTGAAACTTCTGGTCAATCATTATTCAATTCTAGTCAATTAATTACTATTAAAGTTGAGATACCAATACAACAGATTAACAAGCAAATCCTTTACACAGATAAATAAAATCCAATTTATATAGCCCTAAAACAATTTCCAGTTTTGTAGCTAAGCAGTATCATACATTTCTTAGGAAATAAAGATGATTTCATAATCCAGGTAATTCTTGGAAGCATATTACAATACTGTGCCTAATTCCCAGCTTCTAAACAAATTGTTGTGTAGTTCAGAAATTAAAAAAACACTTGATATTATCCAGTTAAATGATAATATATAGTTTGCTATATATATTTATAATGTAGGCATTAGAGAAAAAGTAGGGAATGCATTCCTGATTTTCTTCCATTTTACAAATATTTCCATTCATGTTTAGAGTTTACCCCATTGCAAATAATAACTAACTACCAGTGGGAGACCAATCCTTTACAAAGTACAAGTTTCAATTTTAATAACCAAATTTTGAAATTTTTCAATGCCAATATGAATTGAGTTTAATGAGATCTTTAGCCAAACTTAACCCATGGTATGTTGAAGTAATTTGTCAAGGCTGAATTTACATTCAACTATTTAGTAAATTCATTAAGTGATTAATTCAGATTATGTGACTGGCTTTATTTGAAAGTTGGCAGGAACTACAGATTTCAAAAATGTATCAATAGAGCATTCCATCCTTCTGAGAAGATATGATGGGAACTATGTAATTCTGATTTTGCATCACTGACATAACATTCATGCCTCTATTTCCATTTCTAGGGCAAGATAATATACAATCATTACGCACAGAAGCATCTCTTTTTAAAAAAAAAAAGAGTTGGAAAAGAAAGGGATAGTTGCTTATCTATTTTCCCAACTGCAGGAAACATCTGTATTATGATAAAAAGAATTACTCAAACAACTGGAATGAAGATTGCAGATCACGTCAACATGTAATGTGGCTGAAAAGGTTTTAACCAATTCTTTGCAGCTTAGGAAACAGGATTCCAAAAAGATTTGGTAAGGTTTATTTGAACCGTATGACCAAATATTACTAAGCAAAGAATTCTAGCTCAGCATTTGAAGTATTCAAAATCTCTGCCCAAACAAATTACATTCTAAAGAAAATATTTGCTTAAATAAATGATATAAAATTATTTATCTCTGAATTCTTTTTTTTCACGTCTTTCACGCATGACTTCCACCACATGTGGCCAAAGATAAGGCTTATCCTAAAAAATTAAGACAGAAGACATTTTTATTAGTTTTACAAAACACATAAAAACTAATACTATAAGCTAATAAAGAGCAGAAGCAGTAAAGAGAGTAAAAATGCAGAAAGAACAAAATAGAAGCCTCTGATTCTGATTTTCTTTGCAGCATGAGTACATTTACAAAATTGTCTCTTACTCTGATTACAAAAAATCCTCACTTTTTTCTATTACCCAATTTTTTTCTAATCATAAACCACAAGTCATAAGTGCATTTTTTCTGTTTCATGCAAAAAATCCATAAGGGGTTTTCAGTCAACCATAAATGTTAGATACTGGTTTTTCTCTATCAAATCATTCCTCTTTGAAAGTGTCAAACCTTTCCACTCTTGTGCTTACAATAGTTTTGCTGCAGTTGTCATATATGAAAAAATTGACTTTTTTTCTAGTTGCTTGTCCATTAGTTCCAAAACCAAAGTCTAAGTATTTTTACCCTTTACAATCTTCTGAATTAATTCCTGACTAGAATGACTTAATAGAGGATATGCAATAATACATCTTTTTGTTTGCAATCGTGGTGAGTATCTGTAGCTCGGGTGTAGGATGAGAGTGAAGGTAAGTTCTCCGAGGTTGTGGGTTGGTTTCCAAATGCTTCGTTACCAGGCTAGGTAACATCTTTAGCGGTGTTTAGTGGGGTTCAGATTAGTCCACTAAGTCCGCTGAAGATGTTACCTAGCCTGGTAACGAAGCATTTGGAAACCAACCCACAAGCTCAGAGAATGAACCTTCACCCTCACATCTATTTGTCTTTTAGGGTACCACAAAATATTAAATGTATTAACCTTATGGAAGTTATTTCACTAAGCACTTGTCAGCTAGCAAAGAACTCTTCACAGCTCTCTTCTTGTATTGTATTTACTGATATGCAGATCTCTATGCACAAGGCACTCTATCTTTCTCTAATCTAATACATATGGAGAGCTGGACTACAATATATTGGTCTCCCACTTCACTTTTTGTTATTCAGCTGGGACTCTGAGAGGGGGAAGATCTCATCACTGGATTTTTGGTATAGAGTGACACTATTAAGGCCTTTTCATCTCCAGCAACTCCAGGATATAAAATAGATCTTGTTCTTCAACTGAGAACAAGATTCTTTAGTCCACAAAATGAAAAGCAAAGTAAACATTTTTTTCTTTTATCCACAGAGCTTTATATTAGTGTTCTGCTGTTCACTTGTTTTAAATATGATACTGTGCTGAGAATCATTTTTATAAAGCAAGATAGAGTGTTATGACTCTAAAAAGTATAAAGGGAGTACTAAAAGTCATGCATTAAGCATTATGCTGTTAATATCAAAGTTAATTCTACAACAGGCGAGTTTATTGAAACCGCTCCCAATGATGCTAATGGGTGGAACTCTTCTTCCCCACAACATATTTTTGGGGTAAAAACATTCTGTGACTGCCTTCACACATTACATTACACCATAGCTTGTCTTAGCCTTGATTTACCGATTACTGGCAGAATTTAAAACAGCTAGGTACAACTATAACTTTAGAAAATAAAGAATGTTTTTACTTCAATGTCTTCCCTAAGAGGGATGAAGCTTCTTAGAAATGAGCATTAATCAGTAAATAGAATGGGGAGCCCTCACGTACTAGAACAGAGTTTCCCAACCTTGGCAATTTTAAGATGTGTGGATTTCATTTTCCAGAATTCCTTAGAAAGCATGGGAGATTGTCCATACAACTTAAAGCTGCCAAGATTGAGAAACACTGTATTGGAATCTGATGCACTGCATTGGATAATTATTTAATTCTGATGTTTTTATTTATAATCTCTCTCACACAGGCATTCATTCTACTCAGATTAGCAGACATTTTTTGGGGATGATTTTTTTTACCATAAAATGAAGGTTTTAAATATCTTAAATCATTTAATTTCTAAAAGGACACAGATATTCCTGCCCACTTTGAAACAACTTTCCCTTTAAAATGGATTCCTTTTATTAATATGCATGCAAGAATTTATACCTCTTCATATTTTGTCCACTGATCTTTGGGAAGAATATCATGCGTCAGACTCAATTGGACTGCTCTCTTGATGCGAAATATTCTCTCATAATATACATCTTCCGGAAGTCTTTTTATTGCTTCTTTGACAACATCACTTTCATGTATTATATCATCACGCTTTAATCCTGCAACAGAAAATATTTCTCATATTACCTAAAATACCAGTCAATTAGATGAGAAAAATGTTTTAGCATTTAAAACATACTAAGATCTTGAAGCTTGCAATTGGTAACTCATTGTACAATTAACTGCTGGATATGACACCAAGAAATTATTTTTTGTAGTTTAAGTGTCTGGACAACGGATCATAGATGAGTCACTCCAGCATCCCATCTCCAACTCCAGCATAATCAAAAGACTCTTTTAAATAGTTTTATGATAGTTGCATGGCATCACCATTCAAAAGTCCCTTATGTTGAGTTTCTGAACTAGTCTTGGAATAACATTAAAACAAAACTACCAAAAAATACATTAATACTTTAGTAGCTGTTTCTAATGTGCCATACTTATCTTCTCAATGAGTTGAATAAAAACCAAAGTAACAATTTTGAATATACTTATATGGTAGTCTGTCTTACTGAACCTAACAGAGCTTCTTCTGAAAAGACATGTGTAAATCTATACTGTGTATTAATCTTTGATTTAGCAGAAGGTATGAGAAATGTTAATAGCCTGAATCCACTTTTGCATACGGAGTTGCAAAGTAGGCAACCTCATGAAGAAGAGGATACCATTAGTGCAACAAGGAATAGACAATCTGTAATCTTGCTACTGATGACTTTGGTTATCATGTGTGAGCACATGTATCTTATCCTCTAACTGTAACAGGATTTATTTCTAAATAAACATGTACAGGTAGACAGTTAACCATATTGTTTCTCTTCAGTGATGCCTGTAGCTATAGTTGGCAGTAAAACATTCATATTTGATTGTTTGAAGTCAATAGCCTTACGTTCTAGTAAAATTGATGACATAATGAAATATAGATACAGGTTGATACCCATATAGCTGTAACAATTTGCTGTTTTACATTTATAATCACTGTTTGGCTAAACTAATTAACAGGACAATTATAGCTATAGTTGTTCCTTTTTAACGTCACAAAATAAACTAATTCAAAGTAACATACTTTAATTTTTATAATCTATTCTGCAAGTAATAAAATAAGCAGCAACTTTATATATTTTCATGGTTTGCTTGTCAATCCAACTGAAAATATTGTTTCAATTCAATAAAGAACTTACAAACCAGTAACACATTAGCAAATAAAATTTATAGTTTAAAAATATTCACAGAAAATGCCCACCGTATTTGTTGAATCCTTGTGCATTGTAATACCATTTGCGAAATCTCTCAAGCAAACGACTGCCAGCTGAAACTAGAAATATGAATCAATTAACTTAAGATGGTACACATGTTCCATGTGCAGACCCAAACATCATCAAAACTATAAATACAGAAAGTTGCAGTTAGAGGACTGTAGCACTTTCGGTACAGAAAATAAGATTGTCAGCTCAGAAAAATTCAACAGTAAAACAGTGAGTAAAATATTTTTGAGAAAGGAGAATCTGCATACATATGTATTATCTTTGGGTGTTGATACACAAGCTCAGATACTATTAATAAATTTTGTTACATCTGTCAACCATTACCTTAAATGAATGCATTATTTTAACTGTATTTGGAAGAATAAAATTGCTGGTTTCATCAGACAATTGCTAGTTATATTTTATACCGTAGATTAAAATATTTTCTTCCACTTGGTATCATACAAATTTCAAATTTATTAGTGATTACAGGTGAAGACCAATAATCCAAAGGATTTGAATACATTAAGGATGTACAGAATGGTATTTTAAAAGGCTTAAAACATTGCAGCTACAAGAATATAAGAAGTAAATATTCCATTTACTGCATTATAAACAAAACTAATAATACCTATAGCTAAATAAAAGTACTGACCATGAATTTTGAGGTATATATAAACTCTAATTAATTTAGGTTTTTCTTACCAGACCTTTTATATAATCACCCTTATAACTTAGATATTTTTATGCCTACACAAAACACTAACCACAATGGCAATATTGCAGAATATTTGTTTTAAAACTGTACAGGATAAAGTTGGAATCAGAAAAGGAGAAAACTTTGGGAACCAAAGCAGCGTCTTTGTATTCTCAAACTTAGGAAACAGATACAAAACAGTGGTTGAGAAAAAAGGCCCCTTTAATTACATACTGATAAAACTGATAAGAGTTATCAATTTCTTCCCCTACTAGGGGATCTCCTCTGGCTGCTAACAGCAATATCAAGTTCAAGAGAAGTGAATCAAAACTTATACTCCTACCCTGTTCCTCTACCTTTAGGACTGATGTACAGTACCTTTTTTTCCAACTACTCTCCACTAAGCAGCCATATAGCCTTTAGAACCACTAAAAAATTCATAGGAGACAAGCAATATAGCTATATATTCTGACCAGAGGAGAAGACTGAGACTTGAAAGTCAAAAAGGGTGGGGCAGGAAAGACAGCCATTAGTTGCTGTCCTAAAGTTCTCCTTAAAGAGTTCCTTTTCACATCCAAGTGTTTCAGGAGAGGAGGATAATCCCAACAAAGCCCAGAAGTTATCATTTCATCAAAACTCTTTTTATTGCTTGGCAGAAAAACCCTTTGTAGTCAGGGTCTACCTAGGCCCTTGCAGAAAAACCAGCAACCTACTAGAAGCTGGCAGGGCAGAGGAGACACAAACGAATACATTTCTCCATCGTTGGCTAGTAGCTGCTTTATTTACTGCCTCTTGGCTGGCGAAATTGTCTCTACTCAGCAAATTTATACAGCCGCCAATTTCATAAAGTTGATTCTTTATGAGAGGGGATAGAAAAAAGTAAGTAGTTAAAAATATAAATGACTGTTAAAAACAATTAGGCATAAATAAAAAAATCCAATACAAATAAATAACCAATGCACAGCGCTTTCTCCCAACCCGATAATACCATCTGGAGGACTGGGGGGGGGGAGGGGGCAGCAAGTCTGTCCTTTCCTATAGGTGACTATTTACTCTCCTTCCGGAGTTCAAAGCACAGCTAAATTCAGTGGGGTTTTCTTCAAAGGAGCCACGTATAAAAGCGATGCTATACAGACATACCTGAGTGGTCGAGAACCATCCTAAGCCCCTTATCCTAAGCCCCTTATCGGGTCTACGTCCTCTTACCATCATTACCGATTAGACCAGGCTTGTCTGGGTCACAAAACGACACAATCTTAAATACGCCACTTTCCCTCGACGGATAAACTTGCCCGGATTAAATTTTCTCTTTACTTACGTACCGGGTGCCCTGCCCGCCATCTTCACCTCTACAAAAACCGCAGTGCCTCTTGGGAAGAAGAGCGCCGTCTTTAAGCCACGTGCTCACAGTTCGCATTGTCACGTGACTCTGACGTCTACCGCCTGTTAGCGGTGGTTCTGTCTCGTTCAAACTTGACTCTTGGACGGTTTCAACGATGTGTCTTTTCCTGCTGCGTACTACAACCGAAGCGTGAAGGGCAAATTTCCTTTTTTTTACACAAAATATGGCTTTTTTTAACCAATAAAATGTGTTGCAAAAAGTATTGTCCTTCATTGTTTTCTGACAAAGGACAGTGAATAAGGCTGCCGACAGTGGGAAATGAGTGGTCAAGATGACTTTTGGAAATTGAGTCTACTAAATTTGGCAGATGGAGTAACGAAGTCTCTCTTAAGAATGATTTAAGAAAGTAACTTCAAACAGCCCTAAAATGAAAACCAAGGTTATTCCTTTGTACGATATATTATTTTTCTGGCACAGAAAAATAATATATTTTATCAAAATAATATATACTTTATAATATAATATAAATAATATACTTTATCAAAATGGTGGTATATATTACAGATCTTAAGAATGTTTAAGCATTGAGAAAATTTCCAGTACTATTATTTTGATGAATCTCCATTCAATCTCAGGTTGTGAAAGCTGGAAAAAAAATCCTATCATGCTGTGATAGAAACTGATAGAAGGCTGAATATTTTAGCAGGTCAACAGCCTAAAATTTAACTCCAAAGCAACCATGAATCATGTTTTTCAAGGCAGGATTAATTCTCCAGAGCCAACTTTTATCATCTGGTTTTATCTTTTTATCAATAGCAGATATATCTCACATTAGATCTTGGATATCATTTGAGATCAAATTCAAGTTGCTTTCTGCTTTTTTTGTTGTTGTTCATTGCGAAGTCGTGTCCGACCCATCACGATCCCATGGAAAACGTTCCTCCAGGTCTTCCTGTCCTCTGCTTTTAGATCCTAGCTATTTTATTATATACCCATGCATATCATGTAAAGAGTTATTTATAAAGTGACAAAGGTGGAATAAAAATCTAATAAATAAAATCTCATAATTAGAAGTACTAAGAGTGCTTAGAAGTAATTTAGATTATAATCAAGTTGAATGCTGCCAAAGTATTGTATTTCCAGAGTAAATGAGCAGACTAAAAAAACTTACATTCCTTTGTGCCTTTTTGTACTATGAACCAATGCTAATGTGAAAAAAAAACCCTACAATTTTCCATAAAATATTTTTTATTATCAAATGTAGAAACTGCCCATCTCCTTCAGAAAGGAACTTTGGATGGAATACAAGTAAACTGTAAATTATAACATCTTCATGCTATATTTTGGAAAGCATCATATCCAAATATTAGGTTTCCCTTTTCCTTCTGAGTTAACAATCATTTGGATTACTATTTATTAGAATAGTTTAATGTGAAAATGTATTTTGGAATTACAGGTTAAATCAGATTGCTTATAAGGTGCAGAACTTCTTACCATGGTGTAGCTCACACAATAGCAATCCAAGATCTCTGACTGAACATGATTTCTTAAATATGGAAATCATTTCTCCATTTTGCATCCACACTTCTTTAGGGAGCCAATCATTTCATACAGCAAAATGAAGCAGCAAGAACATTGCCACAAGACACCTTACTTCTGTCATTTACCCACTAGCAAAAAGGTATGTACATCAGCTTCAGGAAGTACATTTGCTTGGCTCCTCTCAGGCTAACAATAGCACTGAGAAATTTCTAAGAACTTCAGGAAATTTAACTACTCAATTTGGAAGGACCTGTGGGTATAAGAATTAAGGAAAAAAGTTTCCTGAAAGTTCTGCTTTTCCATTTAAAATACAGATAGTGGCTTTACATCTTGGATATCCTAGGAACCAACCCAGTTGCAGTTATAATTTCTGCATTGGACATGCAGATCTATTTTGTGCTGGTTCCATTGTGACCGTAACATCATATTATCAAATATGACCTAGAATAGAACTGTAGATACAGAACTCACTTGTATAAAGGCCAAGGTCAGTAAATCATTATAATCCTTTGCAATGCAAAAGTAGAGAGTGGGATGGAAGTGCATAGAGAAATCCTCTGTCTCTAGACTGGTGATGGCAAATGTATGAAATGCCCCCTTCAGAGGCTGGTTTGCAGGAGAAGGAGAAAGAATGGGAGCTGGGACGATTTGACAGGGAAAGCACGCCAGGGGCTGAGGACAATGCTGTGTTAGGGATTGGAATATGCCACAAAATTATACAATTGTAGAATGCAGCCATGCAAAACAGACAGACCTGAGGTGAATACAGCCCCTAAAATGGATGAAAAACAGACTTTTGGTTTGATGTGATTTATAATTATTATGGTTACACAGTATATTTAATAGGGAAAAAAATTATTTGTCTCGAATGTAACCTGCATTTGCATAATGACCTCTCCTTCTCTCACCTCTTCCCAGTTTAAATCTTGCATCAGTCTAGTAACTCCGCTGCATCTAATGAAGTGAGCTGTATTTCACATTTATGTTCATCTGAAAAGATGCTACCAATTGAATGTAATAATATTGGTTTATTCACTGTGGAATAAATCTAAAACCAGGTATTTTTATACTTAGGTAAACATTACATCTAGGTCACTGACAGAAAACACTGGTGGCTGCACTCATGATTATAAATGCTCAATCATCCTTTTACTTGGTTTATGATGTTTTGTTTTCTTATGGAACATTTATCAGCACACTTGGATACAAGTGCTATCTTATTTCTAAATTAGTTTCCATATTTAGAAGTCAGTTTACTTATTGACAAAGTTTTGTCAAAATTTGCAGTTGAAAGGCATACTACCAGATGTGTTTATATTTAAAAAAAGTTCTTTACAGCGTTTTCAAAAATTTTTCAAAGTCTGTTTTTTCTGCTTTAGCAACTTCAGCACAAAACACATCATCTGGCAAGGCTATCAATTTTTCCAAGGAGATGTAACTTGGTTGCTCCGGATCATATTGGGCCCTTCCCAGGAACTTAAGAAATAGATGTCTTTCTTTGATTCGTAAAAATTTTGTATTAAAAATCTAAAATGGAAAAAAAATGAAATGTATCTTATTTGGGCATAAGTCATACTGAAATCAGTGGCATACAGTTCTGAGCAAATATGGCAACAGGTCATTAAAATTAGTGACATATGCAAATAATTTTCATAAATATGGACAATTTCACTTACATTTTAAAATACATTAATATCTTTACATCTTGAGAATTTGGGTGAGCCTATTTCTTTTGGTTGCTATGTTATTTTGTTATTTCTTTTGTTTTACTGTTTTTATTGTTTTAAATTGTTAGCCACCCAGAGATATATATATATGAGATGGTGACCATATAAATCTATTACATCTATCATGTTGGCCTACAATTTGCATGAGTTCCCATTAAGCTACCTTTCACATTTTGTGCTCCAACGGCTAGTAATTAAATAAACTACAAGATTCTTACCTGAGGAAAATGTACCATAAGTCTGTGGGAAATGCCCATTACATTATGCACGTAATCAAAACTCTGTGTTAACTTTTTTTTGCTTATACTTAAGTTCTTAGGGACAGTGTGTGCAATATGGCGGATTTCATTCTTACTAAATCCAAGTTCTTGCTCATATACCTGAAAAAGAGAGTGATTGCAATGAATCAATTTTGAAATTTGAAAAAAATCAGAGAAACAGATGACATGGTGACAATATTTTCAGCAAAAAAATGAAGATTTTATTTTTTCCAGTTTTTTTTTAAAGAATTACATCTTCAACCTAGCTTTGTGGATTGCCCAAAATAAAACAAGTTATAGTATCTTTCCAAAATCTTTGTGTGATTTGTATTCTCAGTGTCTTTAGAATACTGAAATAGAAAATAAAGTCCCAGCTTTCAGCAGACTCAAAATGTTAACTACTGTTATTGAGCAGTCACAAAAACTTTTATGTATAGCAGAGAATTTTCTAAAATAAATTTTCTTAAATACTGTATAAGGATTATGCTGCTGGAGTTTACATAATCCATATAATACTATGCCATTTTCTTAAAAAAGTAAAAAGAGCCTATTTCATATAAACCTAACCCATACCTCATTAAACATACAACCACCTCCATTTTTGTGAGTAATAACAACTATCATACAACACTACCACATACTAGCTTTCCATCATATTTCTTTATCTATAAAGAACTTCAAGGAACTTCTTAGTTTCAAGTCACAGGGCTTGTGCAAAATACTTTACATGTACTAAGGTATTATTCCTGTTATATGTTAAAGTACAAAGTAGAACTGGAACCTGTGAAAATTAGTCCAGTTGCTATCCTGCATGATTCTTAATAACTTTTATTAGCTGAAGTAATGATTTTACAATAATTGCTAAAAGAAGGAGACTTACTGAAAGATTTTCTTCAATTGGTTCAAGTTTGCCAGTTAGCAATCTTGGAAGACGGATTACCAGATTTCTAGTCTATTCAAAAACAAATAAATATATATTAAATAATATATATTTAGGTTAAAATTTGCATTTTGCTGGTAAAGCATATTTCTACACAGGCAACATAATTCTAGTTGAAAAAAATATGGATGTATATAGTATAGTGAAATCATATCTGAAGATAATTTACTTTAATATAATAGCAGTTTCCACACATATGTAATTTCAAAAGCAGTGATATATCTTATTTTGGCTTATGTTTGTGTTAAGATAAGCTATGTGTGGCAGCCTGATTCATGGGAAGCTGTTGTGCCTTAGCTATGGGATTATAGACCCAGATTTTCTTATTTGGGTGTTATGTTTGTGTAAGGAAAAATACGTCAGGTATACAACTCAGAGTATGAATAATATAGGAATGTATTTTATAACATGGGTAAAATCTTAACAGGATTTAGATTCAATAATTTATACTCATATAAACAGCTGAGCACCATCAATTACCTCAACTTCCATATCAATTGATTTTTATACCCATTCTTTTCAGAAAACTGGGTGTAATGGCTATTCTCTGCCATCTAGATAAATGTCTATCTAATAGGAAGTTTTACATTCTTGCAATGCCAGAAATTCTTACTATTTATAATTTTTTGATGATTTCTTTCAACTATATGTTCATATATTGTGGAAAAATATATACTGTAATCAAAAAATACACTATCAATATTTCTCCAGTTGTTGCTAGATGCCAAACATATGGAATGCCACACAGTGCTCATTTCAATCTAAAGTGGTCCTTAAAGGAAAGCAAAATGTACCTTTCTTGGATTTAGTCCAAGTACATTTTGGAAGAAACCCAATCTATCATCCAGTTTTTCCACAGAAAGGAGAAGTAAACATGGAGCCCTTAAGACCATTTGTGTGACTGCCTCTTTGGAAAATTTTTTTGATATTAGGTAGTCGACCCTAGAAAACAGAGAAATACATTCATTTATAATGAAATAAATCAAAGTAGTAACCATTTATCCAAATAACCAAATTCCCTGCATTATCTATCAAAGTGGCAGATATTTCAATAATATTAACAAGCAAAACAGCAAAACAAAGGGTGGAAAAGTCTGACTAAAGCAAAATACCATGATTCCCAATCACAATAAAACCATAATGTAAAAATGTTGAACAAAGAGTTCACAATTTCCAGCTGCATTTAAATAAAAGTTCTGTGAATACTAGCTGAGTTTTGAGATGTGATCTTAGTATCCCATATGGCTTACACTAAAATAAGCATGGAAAAATGTATTTTTGCAACTGAACGCAAATACATTTTGATTTTGAGGACAAGGTCTTAACGAACTTAAATGGCATGTTTAAATAAATAAAAAAGGTTATCAAACAGTTGTTTTAAAGATGTACATTTTCTCTACCCAAAATACATAAACATGGAAAAAGTTTATGACAAAAAACATGGGAATTCATCTTGGACATTCATTGTTCTTCTAGCCTCTTTCTTAAAATAGAAGTCTTAATACTATTCAGTTCATGAAAAACTGTTTGTGGGGGAGGCAGGCTTTCTGGACAGGTCAATTGTGAATCTCAGAAAGCATTGAGGGTAAATTGGCCAAACAGATTTGGACAAACATTTCCACTGTAATGTTGTAGTTACAAATGGGATAGTGAAAAAGAATTAACTTGAAAAAGATCCCTAAATTAACATGTTCTTGGCACTGCCAACTGATCCATAAAGATCCAACTGTAATGGTCTAGTCTTTTTGTTTTACTTAACCTCCCCCAAATATAGGTAACATACTCTCCAAATATTACACGGAAACAATCTACAGCAGACATGTCAAACTCGCGATGTCACGTGACATCGCACAACGTATCGGGCCGGTTTTGCCATTGCTGGCAAAGGGGTGGGCGCAGCTTCCACGTGATGCGTCTGGCCCACGGGCCGACAGTTTGATACCCCTGATCTACAGGCTTTTCATGCTCATCAAAATTTGGAAGATTGGGAGAAGGAAGATTATATAAGGCAATTATTATTTATTTCATTTTATTTTATTTCCTTCCACTCCATTTTTTAAACTAACATTATATTAAAAGAGTCTTATAATTACTTAACTACCATTTCACTAGAACAGTGGTTCTCAACCTTTTTAATGCTGCGACCCCCAACCGGTCGTAAGTCGAGGACTACTCAACTGGTACAGCACCGTTTGCAGAATGGGACTTTTGGCGGGGTCAGCAGGGCAGAGACAGCCTGAACATTTCCTATTGGCTTTTGAAAGTCAATAGAATTAGACTCCATTCAAGAGTCTATTCTATTGGCTTTCAAAAGCCAATAGAATAAAAGGGAGTAGCACAGCTAAGGAAAAGGGGAAAAAATGGCGGACTGCGTTGTTTGGCGACCCCCGTGAAATCGTTGTTCGACCTCAAATGGGGTCCCAACCCACAGGTTGAGAACCACTGCATTAGAACCTGCCTCAATAGCATTCACAATCTGATTCCATTCAGATATAACAGAAACCATGTTTTTAGCAATTGCAGTGACACTTACTCTTTTTTCTCTTTTGTGTGCTAAAGGAAAAAAATAATGCTTCTTTTGATTTTAACATTCTCTTGTGATGGTGAGAAATCTGGGAAATTCATTTTTTAATTATGCACTCTTTGCACACTAACAAGTGAATTAGGGCTTACAGCAGTGGTGGGATTCAGCTGGTTCGCACCACTTTGGCAGAACTTGTAGCTAAATTTTTTGTTGCCCAGGCCCAGAATGGACTTCTAAAAGTGGCAGCCACACAGAGAACTGGTTGTTCATATATTTGAATCCACCACTGACTAACAGTCATAATTTAGCAGCATCTGAGGTGATTGTAAGTTTCTACCATGGGTGCCTTTTTAAAACATTGCTATATAAAGACCTTTGGAAACTTAAGAGATACTGGTCTTGTTCTTGAATCAATTTAAAATCCAAGTCATTTTTACATCTTCCATTAATAAGTTGCATAAACATTGTCGTGTGAAGTTAAGCTTCTAGAAAGTGTTTCAATTTCTCTGCCACCAACAGCCAACCAGCACTTCTCCATCTTCAGGGGGCTGTTATGGCGCTCCTACTTCAGATTCCAAGTTTTTTAAAAATATTTTCCATATCTACTCTTAGAGGTAATCATTTCGCTTGAGCAGGTTATCACAAAAAGACTGCAGGAGGTCTACAGAATTCCTTAGTTGATCATAAAGACAACTTTTAGCAATACTTAAAATTTGATTTTCTTAGATATTTCAAACTTCAAGAATATTATTGTATACTCTTTTCATGCCATTTCAATTACAGTATACTGAAGATGTAACTGCTGAAATATTTCCTCTGTTGATAAAAGGGTAGGTTTTCCCTTCAACCAGAATATGTGAATAAGCCTTTAAGAAAATGGCAAGTAAAATGAATTGAATTTCTAATCAATCCTCTATTTTTTTCATCTCAATCTACTGTCAAGGAATTTTAACTTTGCCTCATAATGAAAAACTTGTGATAACGTTTCTGTTTAGTCAAATCTCAACAATCAAATTCTGTCACTCCAATTCATAATGTATTACAAATTTTACTGAAAATAAACAAAAAAAATCTGTCTTTTCAGGAAAACCTCCATCAAAATCAAATGCATGCATTTATTGGACTCTTATCTGGGAAATAATCATGTATAATAAACAGAATGTGGCATTCTTTCTAAATAGCAGCTGCTATACTTGTATAAGTTGACCACTTGAAATTACAAGTACTCCTCACTGAGCAACCACAATCGGGTCCTGGTGACTTGGTTGTTAAGTGAAGTAATTGCTAAGTGAAACCATGACTGTGCTTATGATATTACATCAACTTTCCTTTCCTTTACAGATCTGTGAAGGTTGTAAGAGCCGTGGTGGTGCAGTGGTTAGAATGCAGTATTGCAGGCTAACTCTTGCTTATTCCCAGGAGTTCAATTCTGACCGACTCAAGGTTGACTCAGCCTTCCATCCTTCTGAGGTTGGTAAAATGAGAACCCAGATTGTTGGGGGCAATACGGTGACTCTGTAAACTGCTTAGAGAGGGATGTAAAGCACTATAGAGCGGTATATAAGTCTGAGTGCTATTGCTAAATGCAAGGGTTGATCACAAAGTTACTTTTTCATCACTGCTGCAGCTGTAAATGGTTGTTAAATGGGGTAGTTGCTAAATGAGGTAGTTGCTATCAATATGTTCAATTTGCAACTGGAAAAACTTTGGCCAGTCCCACAAATATCCATCTGGAAAATAACAAATTTGATAACCCACTCACACAAAAGACTGTACTCTTATATGAATAATCCAATGCATATTTAAGAACTCATGTACACCTCCCTTTTTCATCCTATCAGCCTTCTGCATGCCAGCAGTGCTATTTAGACCTTCTTAGTTCCTGTTACTATACAGAACCTAGCATTCTAAAGTGGTATCGCTGGAGCAGACAAGAAATCCAAGGGCTTCCAACACAATAGAGCTTTAAATAGCTGAGGTTTGGAGGATGAGGGAGTTGGAATGCCCAGATGTCCTTACCTTGTTTTTAGATCTTCCACCTCTTCACTGAGAATATAAGGATTTTTAGTGAGAAATGCCCCAAATTGTGTATCTTCCAAACCAATATCCTTAAGAAATAGAAGGATTTTTTTAATATCATTTTCAAAATCTAGTTTTACAAGAAGCTGGCCTGCATTTGGTTTTTTTTCGACCATGGACAAGTTGACACCTGCAGGAAATTCAAAAATAGATTACATAGCTATTCAGTGAAAGTAAATATTTGTCCTGTAGCATGCCCAATTTTGTACATGCAAACACTAAAAGCTGTGTGTTCTACTTTAGATCTAAATATGATTATACTTGGAATAACCCCACTGAAATCAATTGGCTTTAAGGTACACATTTACTATCTTAAGTGACATTGACTTCAACAGGTTTACTCCAGGTCTGATCATGTCTGAATCCACCCCTGCTGTTTAACAATTTTATGTTCTACTGCACAATCTTTTATTTATAGCTATTTTTAATGTGATTGAGTAAACACAGATAGCAACTCTAAATCATTAAGGATTGTGATAGAAAGAGCTCAAGGCTCACTGATTCCTATCATTTTGGTAAAATCAACAGATCAGCTCCATTCTTTAAACATCTCAGAAGAATATTGATTACTGGCACCAAATAATTAAATATGATACAGATACAGAAATTTTAATATATTGAGTGTAAAGGTAATATGTAATATTGTATACTCCTGAGAAATGTGTAAATAAATAGTAGTTCTAAAGAAGTTTTTTCCAAATTCTTCATGAATTTCTTGTATTTAAGGATTCTTCTGTCACAAAGAAATTGTGAAAAAGAAAGCGGTTTCTGTCCTCAATTATATTTGTGCAATAGAGTATACCTTCATCTACCACTTTATGATAGAAATATATTCTGCAAACATGAATCTGCTGTGTATTCAAAAACATGACTGGTTATTATACAGTAAAAATTGTTATCACAGAGTTCCAACCTATCACAAAGTATCTAGCAAGTGGAGCTATACTTACCTAGAAGCACCAATTTCCGCAATGTTTCCGAATGGTCAACATAATCTCTAAGTGAGAAAGATTCTAATGGAGGTGGTGGTGCAGCTTTGATTTGAAGAGACTTATCTTCTGAAATTTTCTCCAGGGGAGATATAGACAAATCATCGTCCAAATCTAAAGTGGAAAAAAAACCCCCAACCTTTAAATTAAAGAAGTGATAGAATACCAAACACATCAATAGCTTTTATATGGTGATCACCATTCCACTGAGCTATCTTAGCTACTGATAAATAACACTAATGAGAATTCTTTTATTATTAAATTATTATTCTTTTAATTTTATTACAATATTTGTTTTGTTCAAAAAAAATTTCCCTAGTGTTTTTAGATAGTTCTATTGTTACAATATACAATGAAACCTGAAGCAATAAATCTGATGCAATTTAGAGTCTCAAAGTTCCCCAATAGTTTTTGCTCTTTTGCTATAGATGATTACTAATACATTTACCCAACTGAACAATATTATTCCCCCCATCTTTTCAGGTAGGTTGATTTTATAGCATTGTGTTTATATTATTAAGTTTTATACAGTTTTATCTTTTAATAATGTAAGCCACTCACAATATGTGGCAATATGGGTAGCTAATAAATTTTACAAACAAATGAGTAAATAATTTACCAATTATTTACATAAAAAATGACAGTGAGGACAATAATCTCCACTCATGGCCAACTTCTAGCAATAAATTATGATTTGATTGACTCCCCAAATTTTATTATTTATTTATTATTTATAAAATTTATTGATCACCCATCTTACCACAGAGCAGCTCTGGGCGGCTTACAATCAAACACATACACACACACTCCACTTCCAAATTTGTGACTCTGAAGAAGAAACTTATAACTCATTTCTGAAAGTTATAACCCTAGAAAAATATTCTACAAATTTGCTTTTACAATCAGGTAGTATCACAAGTTTCATGCTTACATATTTGCTCCTCCACCCACACACACGTATATATACAGACACACGTTTGATTCTCACACACTGTATTAAACTGTAATTGTTTGGGATTATATAACACAATAAAATCAAACAAGCTATATTATATCTTAGGATAAAGAATGAACCCAACTGGAAATGTAGATTTAGATTGGAAATGTAGCATAATTACATTAAACATTATTCATAGTTGCACAAGCAATATTAATAATTGCTAATTTAGATAAAATAATATATTACGGCTTGCTCAAGGTTGAGATCAGACATTTCTAATTACACTGCATAAAGTAAGGAAAAAAGGTGTTTTTGCAATGAACTCGGATAGCTTTGAAGCTGAAGGTGCCTCAAATACTGAATGATGTATTGTATTACTCTACAAACAAAGGAGTCTTGCAGGACAAGAATGTTAGGGCTAGGTGGGCAGGCCTCAGCAGGAAGGGGACAGTGAAGACCAGATGGGCCGGTGGAGTGTAAAGCAGCCAAAAGGGCAGAGATAGGGAAAGAGGTAAGGGGTGGGGTGCATTGGAGGTAGTCCCTTACCTTGCTGAAGTTCAGGGCTGGGAGGGACCAACTCAGGGGTAGCTTGGATTGGAGTATGTCTTTACCTATCAGGTGGTGGTTTGGTTAACAATGGCAAGGGGGAATGCTGTCACTAAGTAATGTGGTCATGTGACGACTCATTTTTCCAGTCTCAATTACTGTTATTAACTAGGAACTACCTGTATAAGATTCATCTTCAACTCTACCACCTTCAACTCTACCAAATAATTTTCTCAGGCTCAATTAAAAAATGTGATTTAATTACTATAACAAACAATAAATTCCAAACATTGTTTTAATAGAGAAGGCTGAGGAAATAACATTTTAAAATTTTAGACATAGTGCTGTGATATGTCAAGTTCAACATCATATAAATGTAATTTGTTACTTACCTTGAAGCAATTCTTCGGTATCTACAGTAGGTACTATCTCAGGTTTTGGCTTGTCAATGAAAGAAAGTGAGGTCTGTTGGGGTTCACTACTTGAGCTGCAGAATTGCCTGTGATTATCCAGATGCAAAGTTCTAAACTTCTTTAACAGCATGTGGCAATAATATCCGTAAGGACAAAAGCACTGCAAATATGACGGTTCAAGAAAACGTGTCCACATATTTATTGATTGCTTTCTCAGCTCTGTACTTTTTATAATATTGTATGCATTTAACAAAGACCAGTATCTGGAAAATTGTCGAGTCCACAAAGGCATCTTACTGATTTAAGTTCTGTAAGAAAAGATCAAGAAAAGAACTTGGACAGAATAAGGATTTGTAATGGTGGTTTGTAATGATGATGTAGGAGATGACCTGGCTGAACCCAAGGGAGGGGCCAAACAAATCATCAGTCCCGAGTCCCTTCATGCTCACAAGAGGTCTAATTCCAGCCCACTTTGAAGTCCATTGACTCTTATCTAACACCAATTTGCTTTGATTGTTAGAGGTTCAGATTCTTGTAGAGAGCATTAGCATACAATACTTCTATACTCACTTGAACTGCCTGGACTCCTGATTTCCTATGCTTGACAAACTGTTTACTATGGTAGGGATAGAAAACCTTGAAAGCCCTCAAAACTTGGTTTTCCCATAGGATATGGAGATCCCATGGAATTGTGGAGCCTGTCAAAAGACTGGTGTAAGTTTAGACTGCACTCTTTCTTGTCTTTTTCCTTATTATAGTTTTTTAATTGTTTTTCATTGGTTTTAATAGTTGAATTATGTTGATTGTTTAGTTTTTGTTTTAATTATGTATGCCACTCAGAGTCAAATTGAGTGAGGTAGGTAGGTATATAAGTTCAGTCAATCAATCAATCAAGTGATAAGTGGCTGTACACTAGGCATGACCAATGAGTGAAGAGGAATTGTCTTGGGCCGCATATAAAATATATAATATAGTTAATGTATATCAGGTGTCAAACTGGTGGCCAATGGGATAGAAATGTCATGCATAGGCCATGCCCACCCCAGCTCCACAAAGGCAAAAAATGTCATATGTCACGTGATGCGATCGAGTTTGACACCCATGATGTATATAAATAAACTTTATTTTGGGGGGATGTCTTGTGGGCCACATTACTAGCTGTCCAGAATTGATGTGGTCCATGGGCTGTGGTCTGGACATATGTGCGCTACATAGAATCATTTCCTGAAGTAAAGGTGAAGTGAAGCTGATAGGGCAGAAAAATAAAGAAAAAAAAGTTCTTTGAGGGGAAATAGTTTTCTGCTCCTACATTAGAGACCTGCTACCTGACCTGCTATTATCAGATACAGTAGAAGATGCTATATTATCATCAGTATCAAAAGAAGAACCGTCTGCTTTTGTACTACACATAGTTTGGGAATGATCATCTCGCTTTTGCTTTAGCCCACCTTTGTGGACTCCTGATTATTTAAAAGATCTAAAATCAATAAGCTAGTTCTCAGATTGAACAATAATCTTTTTAACAATAATGGGAACATGGGCCTTCCTTTAAAAACTGCCAGTGGGCATTTTTTTCTTGTTTAAATAAATTCTCATTCACCCTCCAGGATCTCCTGTCTTCTTTCTCAGCAAACAGTTCCATCCAAACTGGACTATGATCAGACAATGTCCTAGGAAAAATTTTTACATTCTTCACCCTGTTGTATAAATCTGTTGTGATCAAAAAAAAATCAATTCTTGAGAAAGATTGGTGTCTATCTGAGAAGAAGGTAAAGTCCCTTTCTTCTTGGTTACGTTCACGCCAATAGTCTCTCAATTCCCAATCTTCTTTCATGTCAAAGAAGGCTTTAGGTAGTTTAGCCTGTTTAAAAAAAGTAGAAGAGCCTTTTTTGTCCTTTTGTATATCTAAGACACCATTCCAGTCTCCCATTAAAATCACAAACTAAAGGAATGTTTAAAGGAATATTTTGCTTTAAATATGAATAAGGGAACATCAATGTCAATGGTGTGGGATGCAAGTAAAGCTTTTATGCGTGGTATTTTGATAAAAATGAATAACTTGCATAGACAGAAACAGATTCAGAAACGTAAAGATTTAGAAGAGGAGATTAAATTAAAAGAGAAACTCCTAATTTCAAATCCTTTAGATGGAAAGGTGAAAGGAGCTATAAAACTGTTAAAAACACAATTTAACATGTTGATGGCTGATCAAGCTGCAACCAATTTACTGTTTATGAAACAAAATACATTTTGTAACGCTAACAAACCAGGGAGATGGTTGGCTTATCAGTTAAGAAAGAAACAGAAACAGAGGAATATAGATAAAATAAATTATAATGGTAAATTGGTTTATCAGAAAGAATTGATTAAGAAATCTTTTTTAGAATACTACCAAAAATTATACAAGAGTACTAATATTCAAACTACAGATATAAACAATTATTTAGGTAAAGTTAATTTTTCTAAATTAACAGAAGATCAGGAAAAAGAGATTAATGGTTTAATTACTAAGGAAGAAATTGTTACAGCTATTAAACAATTGAAATTGGGCAAAGCGCCGGGTACGGATGGGTTGACATCTATTTATTATAAAACTCTAGTAGAAGAGATGACTCAACCGTTGTGTGAATTGTTTAATAACTTATTACAGGGGTTAGAGATCCCTCCATCTTGGCGTAATGCATTTATATCACTGATTCCAAAAGACAATCAAGATCTTACATTGCCTAAAAATTATAGGCCTATATCTCTTTTAAATGTGGATTATAAAATTTTTGCAAAAATTTTAGCCAACAGGCTTATGGGGATCTTGCAGCAGCTTATACATAAGGATCAATCGGGTTTTATAACTGGAAGGTATATGAAAAATAATGTCAGACAAATCATTAACTTATTAGAGTATTTAGAAAAGAATAACCAAGTCTCTGCAGGCCTGATATTTTTGGATGCTGAAAAAGCCTTTGACCAAGTGAATTGGCAGTTTATGTTATGTTTAATTAAGGAGATGAATTTTGGACAAAATATATTACAAGTATTATCTAATATATATCAAAAACAGACTGCTCAACTTATTGTAAATGGGGGTCTGTCAGAGGCTTTTGTAATAGAAAAAGGTACAAGACAGGGATGCCCGTTATCTCCGTTATTGTTCGTTTTAACATTGGAAATTTTGTTGATTAAAATTCGGGAGTCTCAAGAAATAAAAGGAATAGAAATTAATAAAAAAGAATATAAATTAAGAGCCTTTGCAGATGACTTGGTTGTTACTTTGTCTCAACCTACTTGTTCGGTGGTAAAATTATTACAATTGATCCAACAATATGGACGTGTTTCTGGTTTTAAAATTAATAATAATAAGACTAAAATATTAGCTAAAAATATGACTAATGGTGATAAACAGGTTCTAGTTAAGTTAACAGACTTTGAAATTGTTGATAAGGTAAAATATTTGGGGGTTATATTATCGGCTTCCAATGCAAAATTGTATAAAAATAATTATGAAAAGCTGTGGACGGAGGTACAGAAGGATTTAAAAAATTGGAACAATTTACAGTTATCCCTTATGGGTAGAATTGCAGTTATTAAAATGAATGTCCTGCCAAAGTTTATTTTTCTGTTTCAAATGTTACCTATTCTAAAGAGTGAACGTAATTTAGATGAATGGCAAAAAGGTATTAATAAATTTGTTTGGGCAGGGAAAAAACCAAGGGTGAAACTTAAAATAATGCAAGATTTTCGTGAGAGAGGTGGACTCAAGGTACCAAATATGAAATTGTATTATGATGCTGTAGTATTAACATTGATCAGCGATTGGGTGAATTTAACAAATATAGAAATACTTCATTTGGAAGGTTGGGATTTACTTTTTGGATGGCATGCCTATTTAATATTTAATAAAAAAGTGGATTGGGTTTTTAAGTCTCATATTATAAGAATCTCTTTGCTTAGAGTGTGGAGGAAGTATTACAAATGTGATTTTAAAATACCATTATGGGCTATACCTCGGCATGCCATAGAAGGCATAAGGAAAGGGGTTAATATGGATATGGTCTCTTATGCACAGTTACTTAGATGGGATGGCCAAGACTGGCAGTTAAAATCTTTGGAAGAATTAACACATGAAAATCTAATTTATTCATGGTTCCAATATAGACAAATAGTGGATAGATGGAAGATGGATTGTAAAATGGGCTGGCTCAGAGAAGATGAAATTCTTCTAAAACAAGTAAGAGATCAAAGGCCAACCCATATAAAGAGAGTTTATGGGGTTTTAGTGGAATTGGATTCAGAATCTGAATTAGTTAAAGATTGTATGATTAAATGGGCACAGAATATTGGTGAATCGATTTCAATGGATACTTGGGAACTTATTTGGATAAGAAATGTTAAATTCACACAAGCGCAAAATTTAAGAGAGAATTTTTATAAGATGTTTTATAGATGGCACCTTGATCCAAAGAAAATGTCTATTATGTACCCTAATTTACAGCCGAAATGCTGGAGATGTGGACACTTGGATGCTACTTATTATCATATCTGGTGGACGTGTAAGCATATAAAAGCTTTTTGGATTAAGATATAGTGGAATATTCAAAGAATTTTTAGAAAGAGGGTAAAATTTACTCCGCAATTATTTTTATTAGGTATTGTTATTGATTGTGATGCTAAGGAGGTTATATTGATGTTAAATTTGATTACAGCCGCTAGGCTGTTAATAGGACAATATTGGAAGAAGGAATCCTTGCCTACTTTACAAGAGTGGTTTTATAAAGTTTCGTATTTGGCAGAAATGGCAAAGATTTCGGCTTTTTTAAAGGAGCAATCTCAAGAGAAATTTTTTGCGGTATGGGAAAAATGGATAAATTTTATACAACATAATTTGGATATGGAAAAATATTATTTAGCTTTTCTATAACTTGTAATGATTGTTTTTTTTTCTTTCTTTCTTCTTTTTTTTTACGCTTTATGTATTATTATTCATATACTTTTTTATATATGTTTTATTTTTCGTCTATCTTTTTCTTTTTTTTTCTTTCTCTCTCTCTTTTCTTTTTCCTTTTTTCTTCTCTTTTTTTCCTTTTTTTTTAGTATATATTATTCACTTTAAAGCTTATGTTATGTATATTATTATTATATATATTATGATTACGATTATTATTATTATTATTAATTATCTTATAAATTGTAAACGTTATTTTTAAAATTTGTTAAATAATCCTATATTCAGTTCTGGGAAGTCGGGGGGGGGGGAGGGCGGGGTGGTTTGGGAGGGGGGGGTGGATGTTTATCTGTAAAATTTCTGAAAAAATTCAATAAAAAAAAAAAACTGCCAGTGGGACTCATCAGAATAGCCCATCAAGACTATTAATACAACCCTAAAGTAGGTTTCCCCCCCCCAAAGAAAACATTGCTATATCCTCAGCCAACATGACTGAAATAGCATTATATATCAGGGATGCAGAGTTCCAACTGCGTGGAAAAAGTTAAGTTACAGTTAATATACCAGCAGAATAAAAATTAGATAGAGTTTGTGACATCCTTTTTCTCTATTGTCTCATTTTTATAGACAATATGAAGTAACCGGAAGGCAGGAGGATACACAATCTTGGACTTTCAGAGTTCCTGGACTAAATCTCCCACTATCCATCGCAGGAATGCAGGAACTCAAATTAGAGAAGATGCAATGGGTGTCCAGTTAAAATGCATGTTGTAAGTCGAGGACTACCTGTATTATATTTACTCCAACATCGGTCACCTTTAGGTGATGCCCTCATTAGAGCGCACTCGACAGCATACTCCAGGGAAAGCGATGGAATCCTCCCCTTCATTCTTCCCTTCCCCAAATCCACTTATCTGAAATTCTATAGGTTCTCTTGCTTAAACAGGAGGCTGGACTAGAAGACCTCCAAGATCTCTTCCAGCTCTATTCTATCCTACTCTATTCTAAATTCCACCGAGCATAGAAACTCGGGCGCTTACTTCCGAATGACCAACTCACCCGGCTGCACCCGGGGCCAGGGAACACTGCAATTCTCGTCCTCGGGAGAGGAGCTTGGGGCTTGTTTTTTTTCTTTGAGGATCCGCTGTGGACCCACAGCTTGGAGCGCCTGAGGGAAAGGGCCCAACGCCTGCTCGGCTGCAGCGAAGCACCTTCGCCTTCACGAGGGCAGCCTCCCCCCCCCCCGGCACGCAAGGCGCTCCTCCTGACGCAGGAACAGGAGGCGAGGTTCGGAGCAGCCCTTCCTCGTGGCTGCGGCCGGCTACGTCCAAAGCGACGCGCCGCCCCTTCTCCCATCCCCGGTTACGTCTCCTCGCTGCCCGCTGGCGCGCGTCCTTCTGCTTTCCCTTCCCTTTGGCTGAGCCGCGAGGGCTGGGAGCGGCGGGAGTGGGCCGCTATCGCCGCCTAGACAAGACAAGGCGAAGGAGGGAAGGCGCCGCAACGATGGCGTCGTATATGGGGAGTCGCACTTTGAGCAAGGACGATGTGAACTACCGGCTGCACTTCCGCATGATCAACGAGCAGCAAGTGGAGGACATCACCCTGGAGTTCTTCTACCGGCCCCACACCATCACCCTGCTCAGCTTCACCATCCTCAGCCTCATGGCCTTCGCCTTCACCAGGTATCCGCGGGACGAGGACGATCCCTTTAGGGGCAGGGCGCGGTGGCAGCCCGGCTGTCTTGAGAGGAAGAACCGCCGCAGAGACCATATGCTGGTCTTTTCATTGTAGGATGGGCAACCCTAAACCGGCACAGTGTTGTGGCAGGATTTTTTTCCCAGCCCTGCTTGGATGCTGGAGAAGGGACCGCATGTGTGCAAGTGCTCTGCACTGGTCCGCTGTGTGGGGAGCATCATCCTGTAATGTTATGGGGTTGCAGCTTTCCGAGGTTATGCTTTAAAGCAGGGTTTCCTAATGTGTAGTCCCAGGAATTCTGGGGACCCCTAAAACCCTCTGAGGGGTCTGCAAAATCAAAATTATTTGCCATCTACTGAATAAATTTGCAAAAAATTAAAATAATCTCTTCATTTTTTTAATTTGTTGAAAAATACAGGTATTTTTGTGAAAAAATATTCATCCACATTTTATGAGTTTATATTGTTGCCTTTACATGATTCATTAAATAAATATTTCATAAATGTGTCAGTTTTAATTTTTAATATGGTAAATATTGGTAACCTATACAAATAAGCTATACAAAATATTTGAGGGTGCTCCGTAATTTTTAAAAGTGAGAAGGTGAAAGCAAAAAGTTTTAAGAAACGCTGTTGAAAGAAACATGGTGTTTCAGCCTTGCAGAAGTGATGCACTTTAGATCTGGCTAATGCCAGTTTAGTAAACTGGGCATTCTCTATTAGTTGCCTTGAGCTTCATCAGAGAAGAAAGGTGCAATGCTAGTAAAAACTGAAGTGCTTTCTCTAAACTCACCCTTCTGAGCAGTAGCATCTATGTTAATGTTTGTAGGCTTTAAATTCCTTAGGTGCAAGAAGAGCACATCAAACAGTACTTGGATGCCCATTTACTTCAAAGTAGAGAGACAGTCTTATGCTTTACTTTTTTTTGTGGGAAGTCAAGATGTGTATATTTAATTTTTGTGACTCATTCTATGAGCAAACAAAAAGAATGAGGTCAGCTCTCTCTAGTGGATTAGTTAGGGTGGAGCCAGCAAGAAGTTCTGGAAATAATAAGAGCTGAAATCAATTGGGAGAGATAATAAAGGGGATTTTTAAGAGAGAAATGCTAAAGAGAATGGGTGAATGCGATGAGACATTGAGGCCTAGATGGTTAATATATATCACATAGATAATACTGTAAGCTTTTTTTAAAAGTAACATAGGAGCTGTCCAGAATTTTTATTCCTTCCCTTTTCTTATCAACAATTTCTGTTAACAAGTAGATTTTCCTGGGTTCATAAAGACACTTCTAAAAAACTTGACAACACCAGTTTCCAGATAGCAGCTCTTTTTCCTATTTTGGTTGTCAGTAGTGTTAAAATACTATCTTTCAAAAGTTTTGTCTGCTGCATTTGATGCAATATCCTTGTTGTGATGACATAGGTTTACAGAAATAACTGTCAACTATTGATCAATAACCTTAATCCATTTGGAGGAAAAAAGTATGAGGTAGCTAAAATAAAGATAACATCACTATTGGGGGGGTAGGGGGGGAAGGATCCAGCAAACATATTGGTCATTTTTCCTATGATTATGCATATAGATCTCTTGTAATTCAATGCACTTGCTGGATTAATTTGTATTCTTTGTTATTTTAACTTTCCTGCCAACCTAGCAATTCCAAAGCATGCAAATTCAAGTAGATAAACAGGTACCACTTTGGTAGGAAGGTAACAGTGTTCCATGCACCTCGGAATACATCATGCCAGCCACCTGACCGGAAAACACTGGCTCCTTTGGCTAGGAAACGGAGATGAGGATCGCCTCCTGGAGTCGAACATGACTGGACAGAGGAAACCTTTGCCTTTTTTTTATTTTAACTTATGAATATTGCCCTTACTATTTTACAAATTCTTATGTAGAAATATCTTACACACTAGCATGAATTGTGTTTAATTGGTAATTTACACAATTATGCATGGGTGTTTACATATATGCATGTAGCATAGATTGCTACAATCTTGTACAAATTTTCCATGATGCATTATGATGTACATATCCATAAATGCACATCATGCACTTCATTTATGCATGTCATTTATGCTAATTCCTTTAATGTATCGTTGTTGTACTGAAGTGACTACAACTGGTAGATCTTTGTAGGTGAATTGGAAGAAACTAAAACATAGTGGTCTGCTTTATTTCTATATAAAATAGAAGTAATAACTATACAAAATAGAACAGTTAAATAATAATAGAAACAAATGTCCAAAAATAATTAGCAGAAGATGCAAAGTCAAATTCCATGTGCTGAAGTGCTATTCTTACAATAGTGGGATCAATCTTTTGGATAAGTAAATACATATAATCTAATATGTAGGAAAGAGTTACTTTTAAATGTACAGAATTGTACATATGAAGGTGCTCATATCCAGAGAAAGATTTGTCTAGTGTACAGGAGCTGGATTTTTGAATTTTTCTGCCATTGACCTAAGGAATATAAGTTCCATTTGCCTCAACCATTATGGCATCAAATAAAGGATACTTTACTCTTAATTATAGCTTGTGTATCACAATTATTTCATTGAATTTTCCTCCTTTAAATATTGTTGCTTGCTCTTATACATACTCTGGCATAGAGTTACTTAAATTAATTATTACAGCTTTCACTCATGTCTACTAACACTATTATTCAAGATACCAGACTGCAGTTATTACATCTTTGATAATTATACAGTTTAAATCTTTCATACCTTTGAACTGAGGCAGAAAGAAAGAGCATCCTTTTATCTACAGTGAAATCATTTAAAAAGCTAACCTATCCTTTGTCACAGACATCTATATTAAACCTAATTTTCCAGTTAGTAGAAAGCTTCAGTTTTCATTTGTCTGAAATAAAAGGAAGGCAATATAAAGAACTTTTTAAACAATGTATAATTGTTAACTGATCATGGTGTCCCTAAGGTGGTTCTCTGTTTTCAGATTGGATACTACAGTCAATATCTTTATTTTGGTCAGCAATTCTTTACTTCTCTACATACTAAGTAGCAAGTATGGTCATCCCAAGATGCTTTTCAAAAGGCAACTGGACTTCGTTGGTGTGCCTTTTCATTTGAATTTTCATAGGAAAAACAAAAGGGAATGAGGTTAAATGTCTGAACAGAGCTTTCAAAGAAAAGATTGGTAAATTTACCTTTATTAAACTGTCTTCCAAACTCAATCTAAGTAGTTCCCAAGTTCTAGTACAGTGGTGGCGAACCTATGGCACGGGTGCCAGAGGCAGCACTCAGAGCCTTCTCTGTGGGCACATGCGCCATCGCCCCAGTCCTAGGCCTTCAGCTGGGTTTTATAAAACCTTTTTGCTTTAGGCCTCCACCGCCATGTACAAAAAAAAAAAAAGGGTCAATCAATCAGTCAACTTCAACTTCTCGTGGGGAAAAAAACGATCTTGCAAAGTTGGAACTGATTGATTGAACTTTTTAGTCCCACCCAGTCTGCTGTTACCACCGCAGCCATGCCCACCCAATGGGCCACACCCACCCGGCACACAACAATGCATAAGTGGGTTTTGGGTTGCAGTTTGGGCACTCGGTCTCTAAAAGGTTCTCCATCACTGTTCTAGTATAATCCTTAAAACAAGGCCAATTGCTTTTTGAAAAGCACTTTTGGAATAACCATGACTTGGATGATTGAGAATATCTATAGACATTTAACAAGTATGGTAAATTTTGAGGAACTAGAAAAATATGAATATGTTGATTGTATGGATTAGCTTTGTTCCTTATACAAAAAGGCAAAACAAGTTACTGAGCTTGAAAATAATTAAAAAATATTTTTTATAGCAGAGATGAACATCAGTGTTTTAATCATATGTTTTACTTTGCCTTTTTTTTTTTTAAACAAAGAGATGATTCAACCCCTGAAGATAACATTTGGAAAGGAATCCTCTCTGTGATATTTTTCTTTCTAATCATCAGTGTTCTAGCTTTTCCCAATGGTAAGTAACATCATTGTATGTGACTTTCATGAATATTGATTTACTGTATTTTTATAATTATTATATGTACTGTGTTTACATTGTTCTTTTAAGAATTACACCGAACTGAAGGTTTATATAAGTTTTTCATTTCCAGGCAACCCATCCTCTCAAAATAGAATAGATCCAGACATGCACACACATTAACACAGTTTAAAAAGAGAGTGAAGTCCCTTAATCAAAGGAAATTAAATGTTGAATTCAGCATGCATACTTAAAGGAAATCTTGTTGAAATCTATGGCAACTACTGTAAGAAAAGATGTTTAGAATTCCATTGTTTATTCTTCCGTGTTTCTGTATGACAAAAATACTTTCTGCAATAAT